TGCATTTTTCTTTTCCTTTTATATCGTTTTTCTCGCTCTCGCAAATGGTCAACCGAAAAGGGCTCTATTTACACAGCTGACGGATCCAACTTAGCACTACATATCGTAGGTATAAGCAGTCCTTTAGTTTAATTCGTTTTTACTGCTGTTAACGAATTTGGATGTTTATGTCGAAGTTGCAAATTTAAAGCTATTTTGAAAGACGTAACTTTATTTCTAAAAACTCAAATTTTTAAATTATTCGACCATTATCTCCCACACGGTAGTTATGCAGAATGGGGCCTTTTCGTTCTCCTTCGAGTAAATTTCTAGTTATCCTTGATTCATTAAAAAATTCTAAACCGTTACATAAATGAGTTATTTTTTTCTCATTAACTGGATAGTAACTCGTTAATTTGGGTTAAGGGTCTTTTAATAAACTTGAGTTTTTGATGGATGAAGGTACCGTGAGTCAGGAGGTGGTAAGGTATCCTCGAACCCTTGTTAATACTCACCAGCGATGTCTCAAAGCTTTGCATAAAGCATAAATTAAATCGCTATTAAAGTTAACTATATTACATGTAGGCATCTACATATGTAGATACAATTGTTGTTCGTTTTCTCGTGTTGCTAATGATAAAATTGATTATCTACGGACGTTTGAAGATGCAGGCATTAGTATAAGTTTGAAGAGATAAATTTGTTACAAAATGGGAAGCATTTGCGTCATGTAAAGTTAGTCTCATTATCTTCGGATTATCCCGTACTGAATACTCTCAATTGCGTGGATTGAGATAAAGGAAACTTTGCAACGGCGTTCGGATTTCAAACTGCTACTACAGAATTCCATTCAGAACGGCTACGTTATAATGTTGCTTCGTTGCGAAAAGTTTCGCGTAATATGCAAAATACCTCACGGATCGGAAGCCTGCATCTCAATTGATCAAAGAAAACATTCATCGAGGTTTGTAAAGGGTAAAAAAAATATGTATCTGTTAAGGGTATGTATTGGTTAGTCGTAACTTAATTCGTAATATTAACGGGTTTCTTCATACGATGTTTAGACCATTTATTTGGACTTCCTGAAGTACATCAATACATTATACATGTGAGAACACAGTATTAATATATTACCTTCGTTCTTGTTTAAATTTAAATCAAATTGATGCTTCTCTTTGAAATATTCATTACAGTAGAAAGTCGCCCTAACGAAATCCTTCATAACGACATATTCCCTATAACGTAGACACTATATGTAATATATGTATACATATTAGGGTGCTTCAAACAAAATTTTTAATTTTTTTCTTCTAACTCTTACCCCCTCAAATGTTTCTATTTGATGTAAAAAAAATCCTCGTCAAACATGAGTCCTATAGCTCAAATCTAAGGGGTCGCTATTTTTATTTTAGTTTCCCATTTAATTAACATAGGAAAAATTCTTTTCTGTTTTAAGTTGAATTTACACATAATTTACGTAATTGTTTTCAAAAAACCGTTTCATATTCTCAAAGTTGAGTCTTTGAGTTTTACAAAACTCTAAGACAAAGTATGATTATCTTTACAAAAAGACTAGTTACAGCCATTTAAAAATTACTAAATTTTGAAATTTGAAAAAATAGCTTGCAATTTTTTTTTTTGCATAATCCTCAAAATTTTTAATCAAACTATTAGTCAGTATTGTATTTTTATGTATTACAAATTTCAAAAATGGTTCTCAGTACGTAGTGTAGGTGGCAGCACACATGATAATAATAAGATAAATGAATTAATCGTATGATTACAAGTAATCATGGATTATAATTTTGTTCCATATTAGTTTATATTAATTATCCATTTCTGAAATTTGTAATACATAAAAATACAATACTTACTAATAGTTTAAGTAAAAATTTTGAGGATTATGCAAAAAAAATAATTGCAAGCTATTTTTTTAAATTTCAAATAGGTGAGTTTGATGCACCCTAATACATATATTTACATACCGATTCTCAGTAAAGAAACGATTATTATATTTACAGAAACAATACGGCATAGTTGGACAGGGAAAGCATGGACTAATAAAGGAAGAAATTTAGTGTGTAATATTATTACTAATATCCGCGACAGATATGTGTATAACAAAAAGTTTTTGATGGTTAGTATTCTATTGAAACTGTCAGATGGATCACGATTTCGATCTCAATTCATCTCATTAGCACACCGAAGACAGTTCTAACAGTTGCTCCGTGGATTGAACATTACTGAGTGGTTATTTATAAATATGCATGAATCAATATCTTCTGCGGCATATTTTTTAATAACTGTTCAGGTATATAGTCAATGGTAAAAGAAAAGGTGCACAATTAATTCTTGTACTCAAAAATCTTTAGGCTATTTTGTTCATTAATCCTGATAGAAGGTTATAAAAAAAGGATTCAAGAGAAATTCTTGCCCATTAGGAAATGTGTTTACGGGTTAGATCCGAGCGCGTAACAGGGTAAAAATAATCTGACTCAATTTCTAGAATATATTTAGTCCAACGATGAAGATAATGAAAACCTAGGCTCTTTGGCGTTCTATAAATACGGCGGCGACAAGTAGGTTTATGCGTGAAGCATGCAAATGTTAAATGTTTTGTAGAAGGTCGAACACTTCGAAAAAGAAAAATGGCACATTTACATAAGTATCGGGGAAAAAATGCAGATCTTATTTATATATAAGTTGAAGTAGGTCAACAACAGTGGTGGTTTGCATGGATGTGCGAAGAAATAACCTTTTGTTGCAACCACTGCCATTAGATTGTAGATTAAATAACAAAAACATAAAATATGGAGCTTACGTAGATATACGTTTTACACACTGTACTATAACATATATCTGACTGTATCAAGTACTTATTTCAAGTCGTAAGCACAGTCATTAAACGGCGGGTTTTATGTGAAAGCACTCGAAATAGACAAAAATCGACAAAAGGTGCACGTGTTCGTGACCAATTCGATTGGTTTTCGTTTACCATTGTTTTCCGGCTGTGAAAACCTTGTGACTGTCTGCGTGTTTTAAAATGACTGTTGCAATATGTATGTATCTGGACCACGTGAGAAATGGATCATAACCAGAAAGTATCAAGAAAGTTTATAGGCATTTGAGATACGGTGTTGGCGCCGACGCGCCTGGATTTAGACCATACAAGAAAAAGAATTTTGAATACCAAATAGAGGCCAAATGGAAAAACTAGAATGAAGGGAAGAACATGACACAGAATAGAATTTAAATTACGATTGCTTGGCATTTAATGTAGCAGGTTGTAATTAGGGTTGCCACACGTACTTTATTTTAAAGTATTGTACTCTATTTCGACTGTGCGTACGTTATACTTCATCGTAATTTTGTAAGCGATTATTCGAAATTCAGAGTATTTTTACATCAATAATCATCATCATCATCATCATAAGGTCATCAGTCCTAAGACTGGTTGGACACGTACCACCACTCTTTCCTATCCTGAGCTAAACTTCGCATTTCCCTAAAACTAGAACAGCCCACATCCTTAACTATTTGCGAAGAGTAATCTAATCTAGG